TGATTTTTCGAAAAAATTTATTTTTTTTATCATGTATTTTTGAAACATTAACAATTCATTGACTGTGCCAGTCTGAAATTGATAAATCTATTTTTTAAATGCGTAATGATTTATTTAATGATAATAAAATTTTTTACACTTTATTTCGTAATGAATAGGAAAATTTAGCATGGATCAAAAGTGATCCAGCGATCGATTTCTATATATTCGTTGTGCTATTGTGAAATGATATTTTTAAAACATGATGCTTTACGATTCAGATTACTGCACCGAATTTAATTTATATCGTGTTGGTTTGGTTTGAGTCAAAAATTACTCGTCTTGAAATTACAGGATTCCGAAAATATCTCACAACTCGAGAATGTCGGGATTCCTGAGAATTTCGAGAATCCAAAGAATGTTTCGAAATTAGTTTTAGTTAAATACGGCCGTGATCCTTTTATTTTTTTTAGAAATATAAAATTAACTTATAAGATTGAGAACATTCGTGATTGATAGATTTCTTTTTTTCATTTTTTTGAAATTGCATAATGAACAATGAAAATTAATCGACACGAGATAGATCAATCTTTCGCAAAGATAATAAGATAATAATAATGTCCGATGATTCTACATGCGAATTCGCTATTGAAGTGTCTCGAGCACTTCACGACGTACCTGTTCTACCGGAAAAAAATAAGAGAAAGAGGAAATAAACGACCGGTTAAAAGAGCAAATCCACGAACTCGTTGCAAGAGACGTTGCAAGATCTCTTCGTTCGAACAGATGTAATAATTATTAAGTAATTATTAATACTTTAATTCCATCCCATGTTTTTATAATAATATCGAAAAATTTTTTCATGTTTTTTTAATTATATAATTAGATATTGATATGATGTTTTATTTTTCAAGCTATTATGAATGATTTATTGTTGGAAAAGTAATGAAATTAATTTGGAATGTAATTGAGAGAGAATTTAGAATAATAAAACACAGATATATTTATCAATCATGAATATCTAAAGAAAATTTGATTTATTAAAGAAATAAGTGATTACAACGATGTTAGATAATTTTTGATTATTTTGAAAATAATAATAGATTCTTTTTCTATTCAGGAATTTAATTTTTTATGGATTTTTTTTACATAATATCTATAAATGTATGTACATTGACATTAATGAAACTTTTGGAATATGCGTGAAATATATACGAAATATCGATATATAGATATATGCAAAATAATATGCAGAGAGAAAGAATTAAAAAGTGAAGCTACTTTCAATCAAAAGACGAAAAACAATTTAGTAAATATTATTATATCAATTATGTTATTTATTATTTATTAATCCTTATAATATTAATTCATTATTTTATCTTTAACTTTAAAAAAAAATATAACATTCGATATTATTCATTGCCTAATATTGCCTCGATTTTAATTTTCATCGTCTATATACTAAAATTTCTTCGCGAATAATCTCTGTTAATCGGTCCAAAGAATTCGCTCGATGAATGGAATAACAAAATAACAGAAATTTCCTTACCCGATTCTCATCTCTGTTAACGATCCCCGTACTCGCTCGAACGCTCGTCTCCGCATCTAATGTCCTACCGCGAGGGAAATCGAACGTGAAAAGCATCAACAAGAGCAGATAGAATGTTCTCAACATCGTTGCAGTGCGATCGAAACGCGGACAATTCCTCGTCGTCGAAACACCAATTCTCCTTCAACTCGTCCACGTTTCCGTGGACCCTCGCCTCTTCCGTGTCCACCACCTCCTTCGTGTACAAGTGCACAAAGATCGCCGCCGCACACAGGATAACGAAAATCGCGTTCTTCCTGTTGCACAGACCGAATATATCCTCAGGGTTCATGCAGAACCGCTCTATCGTCCTCCCTTGCGGTTCTTAATTACCGGTTCACACGGTTTCCGGTTTATTCGCTTTTGTTCGTCCTCCCCCCTCCTCCCTTTCTTCTCCGATTCTTATCCTATTATTTTCTCACCTATCTCAATTTTCCTCCCCCCCCCTCGATCACAAAATTGGCGAGAGAACAGTTCAATTCGCCGCGAAAACTTTCTATTCTAGTTAAAAAAAATATATATATATGTATATATACGTATATGTATATATAAATATTGTTAACCAGAAAATTGATCAAACAACTCGACAATTTATCACGAACTTTCTTTCTCTGTTTTCAAATATTTTCCTTTTCCCTTTGTATTTTTGCCACAATATCGATCGAGCACAGTCTTATTTTTAATTATTTTTAAGTAGATCACATTAAATGATATGTTCCTCGTTGATTGTTCAATTCGTTTAGTTTCAATTTCACTTTATTATCACCTCGGATAACGGTCGCGATCCTACCATCTTCTTCTTCTTCTTCTTCTTCTTCTTTTTTTTCTTCTTCTTTTTTCGAATCACGATGCCTGAATTCCTTGCGAACTGGCCTCTCTGTCGTTACTTTCGAAACGGCACGCTCCTCTCCACGCTCGGCAAATCGTTCCCGCGTACTGACGCCGGTTTTCTCCGTACACGGTCCTAAGTAAGTCGGTGAAACTCGGAGAGCAGTCTTCTAGTAAAACGTGGTTGGCCGGGGTACGCTCTCCTGTTCCACACGGGGCCACAGATCGTTGATGATGAATTTCATCACGGTGATCGGCCGCAAGTTGCCCCAAGATCCTTCCTCCTCGTTGCTGCGATGGGAGGAAGACGAGGGGAGGATGATCCACGCGACACGGTTCGATAGATTCGATTGCGGATTCCGGAAGATGTTGCCTCGCGAGGAATAGGGAATGTTTTCTGTTTTATTTCTGATGAGCGGAGGAGAAATTGCGAAACGATGGACGGAAGGATCTTTTGTGCAGTTTTTCGAGATTTGAGATTTATGCTTGATCGAGGACGAAAGAAATTCGTTAGAAAGAATATTTTGGATAGATTAGGATAATGTGTGGGAAAAAATGCGTTTCTTTGTTTGTAAATGTTAAATATGTCAGAAATTAGTAATTGGTATACAAATAAAGAATAGAGAATGGAAAAAATAGAGATTGTTGTAACTTGAATTCGTATTTTCTTATGGACTTTATGATTAATTTTATGATTAATTAAAATTTTACTTTGATAGTTTGTAAAGTTATAATGTCTTTTATATATTTAAAGAAGTAATATTATTAAATTCTAAGCATAATTAATTTGCTTATTTTATAGCATTTCAGAAGACGTGAAAGAATATTTTTATATCTTAGCTATATTCTGAGTATTTAGTTCATGGCAATATTTTAATACAAGTGGTATTGCAAAATGCTGTCAAGACATACGAAGGATTAGATATTTGTCTGACACATATGCATTCTTAATTATGTTTGAACTCATCGTAGATTTCAATATTATGAGATTGAATTCACGAAGGAGTGAAATTATAATTTTGATTATATTATGAAACTGATAATTTTTAAGAAAGAACAAAAAAAAAATAAGAGTTTTTCCTGGAATCTATCTTTGAAAAATGTACTTTTATTCGATGTTAGTTTTTTGAGAAATTTTTTTTTTTAATTTTAAGATTTTTGTCTTGAAAATATTTTTTTTAGAAATTGACATTTCATTCAATCTTGATTTTCTCGATTTATTTGTTTATAAAACGAAATATAAAACAGTATGAGAAAACAGTGTGCAAATATGAATAAAATATGTTAAAAAATCGCGTGTGAACAATCATATTATGAACAATATATTAAAAAAGATCATATAAGATTCATATGAATCGTGTGAAAAAGACTATACAATACAAAGAAGATTCATATTTTTTAATAAAATATTCTTTTGATTTAATTGCACATTTCATTTTCTCGATTCTGATTTTTATTTTTGCATTTCTATTGTATTTTTAAACGATAAGAAGTTCAATATATGTATTTATATCTTTTTGCTCAATACCTCAATGTTTCATTGAAAGTTAAGCTATTGTTTTCTATTTCGTCCGATCGTTGATATATTTAATTATTCAATATTTTTAAATACATTTATTTTTTTTTTTCGATTCGATTTGCATATGCAATAACTTCATTTATACACAAAAATATTTATATATGTACCATGTACATTGATGAAATATTTTAGAAATCTTGTTTAAATTCAGAAATGTAAAAGAATTTGTAGATCTTTGAAGAAATGGAATGAAAAAATTCTAAGGATTAATTTTAAATTTTGTTATCAATAGTTAAAGTTTACGATATTTTTTTAATTTCTGATAATTTTAAGCTTATATTTGAAAATCTCTTAAAGAGAAGATAATCAATTTTTAATTATATGCCAGACAATATAGAAAAAGTAATCTTAATCTGGGGGTTAATCCGGATTAGAGTTAATTCTTGTGTTAATATTTAATATTCGGATAATCATATACTCTTTTACTTATCGTAAAATTAAAAATCTATTATTTTCTCTTTAAAAAATTTTCAAATCAATCCAATTGGACACTCGTTTTTTTACATTTTGCGATATTACGAGTTTAGAATTTTATTAAAAGATTAAAATCAGAAATTAAGTAACGTCTAAAACTTTTGCCATTGATGTAAAAATTAATGTGAGATATTCTACTTAAAAGTTTCCAATTAAAAAAAAAATATTCTATATATTCATCTGTATATTAAAACAACTACGAAGATACAAAGGAGAATTTTTCTCACATTACCAATTGTTATGGAATACAAAAATACAATTGATGATTTGATTAATTATGCGACAGTTGTGCAATCTCTGTTTCATAAAATTTCCGCGATGATGAGTAAAGATTGAAATTTCTTTTCTTAAAGAATAATTTTCATATTGTTAGATTATTAGATCGGATGAAAAATTACTATTGTGAAAAACTTTAGAAGAAATATTAAATTTATTTATTTAGTAATTAAATAATGTAATCGAATAATAATTAATTTATTCTCGATTCAAGAATAAATTTAATAGATCTTCTTCGTTATTTGGAGAATTTTGATATTTAGGAGGATATTTAGATATACATTTTAGAAATAATTAAATTTCCTTTCGTTGCAATTCTTCGTCATTCAAATATGAATATCTCGCAGAAAGAAAGAAAGAAGCTAAAACTTCTGAACAAAATAGTAGGCTAGTTTCATTTTATTATTCTAAAATTTCTCCGCGGATGGCACTTACTTGGTGAAATCTCGCAGAAATCGATGGCCGTTAACCAGAGAAAATAAACGAGTCAATAATTTTTTCTCTTCGAAGTTTGAAAGATTTGAAGTAAGAATTTTCAAATCTAACTTTCTCAAAAAAATGGAAAATATTTTATTCGATATCTTTTTTCACTTTTAAGTCAAACGAATCATCTTTCGATTATACCACGATTCCAAATATAATCCATACGATCATCCACACTTACTAACGTTTCTATTCATATACCATGGACGGAGTTTCTATTCAATCAATTTCACGAAAGTATAACATGTAAAGTACTCAAGAAGATCAATTTTCTCCCGTTTCTGAGAATAAATCACGACATTGTGCGGCCTCGAAATATATCGATATAAATTTATCGCTATAATATATTTTCTCAGAAGATGAATTTCAGCGACAATTTCGAGGTGCATCACGGTGCAACTCGGTGAACCTCAGGTAAAGTGAATCCTAATAGAAAGTGCGCTCTTTGCGGAGATCTCACGATCTTCGATTCATAGCCACGACCTTCCCACGTGCAGTGGACTGTGCATCCATCCCCACGATGTGCAAGAAGCTTCGCCAGTGTGCTCGTCTCTCGATCTTTATCTATCTTGCCGTCGAGCCGCGATATTGCGAAACTGGCACCGCGACTCGTTTTTTTATTCTCGTTTCCTTTTGTTCTCGACGTTGTATCGTCGTCGTTGTCGCCGTCGTCATCGTCATCGTCGTCATCGACTCTCTTCCATTCGCGCTCGTTAGCCACGCTTCTGCCGCACTTTCCTCTCTAATTAAACGACGCGTCGCTTCTAAACTCGCTTAGGGTGAATCATCTAAAAGATAATTTTTATTCGTTTAGATGTATAGTGATGTATAGTATAATATAATTTACTTATAATTTAATATTGTAATCAGAAATTATGAAGAACAATTTATTTTTTTGACGTGTGTATAATTATTATATCGATATTAATACGATGGAACCTCAATTTTATAGCATTGAAATGTTTTTATTCTGAACGATATGTATATATATATATATTTTCCTTCTAGTAGTATCATATCTAATGATTATGAGAAAATGATAGTATATTACGTTTAATAGTAGTTTGAATATATTACATTTTATATGGTAAACTATATTATATAATACTATATTATAGGCTGTAATAAAGAAATAAATTGTCGAGATGAAAATTTAATTAACGAGATTAAGTTAGATTGTGTGTACATACTTACATCGTGAAACGTAATTTAAAACAGGGTGATGGATTTGTAAATTAATATATAAAACGAGCGTTAAGGAAGAAGAGTGAAACTCAAAGTTTTGTGTAGGTGTGTTTGAACGTCTTTCAAGAATGGAATACTCGGAGTGAAATGAAATGGAAAAGGAGTGAATGCGCGTATACCAGGATAAATGATTGTGAAGAATGCGTTACTCGTTGCACGAGTTATTCAATTAAAGTGAGAGCCAGAATTGTGAGGCAGCAAACTTTGACAAATAAGAGAATACGGAATAAGAGTTCAGAGGAATATTTACCCGATCTATTATTCTAATTATTGTTTTATTTGAGACTTTATTTTCAAGAGAGTTTTCTCACTATATATATATTTTTTAGAGAGCTTTTTTTTTGTTAAGTAATTCTTGGATTATGCATTGCTTGACAAATTGTTTTTTTATTGCTGAAGATTTTTTTTTTGAAAAAAGATTCAATTATTGCTATTTGCAATTTTATTTATATTATAGCTAAAATTGTTATTTTCTAATTTTATATTTGAAAATGCTTGTAAAGAAGTGGTCTAGTTAACGGATTAAATACGAAGTTTATAAATTTTAAAAATTATTGTATGACTGTTCCTAATTATTTAGAATTATATTTGAGATAATAATAAAATTGCCTTTAATTATTTAATTATTTAATATAGTAATTGGTTTAATTGATATATTTTTTTGTCACGCGAATTTGCTTTGGACCAGAGGACAAAATTATGCGGTATGTAAGGTTGCAGAAAATAAATAGGTATTCTATACTTATGGTTTAAATATATACAAAATAGTTACAAAGTAGTTCTTCACTAGGTTCTATTGAAATTTAGTACTGTTAGTTGAATGCCAATTCTGATTCTGTTTTTGTAGAAAAATATTTGTAAATAGATTATTAATTATTGAATTGCTTGTTTCATATTACATTTAAGTGTAATTACAAATTTATTTAATTGTTAAAAAATTAATCGGATACGTATTTCTTACGCACAATTAGTTTGCCTTTCCACGATATTCGTATGTTTCAACTAGTTTTTAGATTTTAATTAATAATTATTTAGCATGATGTGTATTTTTCTTTTATAATTAATCAATTTTTATTTTATTATTATTTTATGTAGATATTAATAAGTGTTTCTAGATCAATTATTTTGGATCATCGATACATATATTTTTTAAATCATTTTAACCCACTGTTACCAAAAGTTTCGACCTTCGAAGATTAATAATAAAATGGCCAATGAATAAATTTATATATATATATATAATATATAAATAAATTTATATATAATATATAATATATAAAAAATTTATAACTGTCGCAACTAATACAACCATTGTTTCTTTTGTGCAGTTTGCTTATGTGTTTTTATTGATTGACACATAAGGCTAAATATATATGTATTATTCTGAATGCAAATGAGTTATTTCAAATATTGTTTAATGAAAATAAATTGTCTCTGTTGTTGAATACTTAATATATTTACATTTATCTTGTTTTGATTAAAATATATTTTTTTCTAAATCGATACAGTTTTACAAGTAAAATTTCTTTGTTTGATTAATCATATAAAAATCTTTCATTTTCAAAAAAACAACGAAAGTTATAAAAATTAGAATTCACTTTTTATCTCTTTATGGAATCATTATTTTACTCAAAGAAGAATTCAAATATTCATGAGGTATATTGATTCTCATGATATATTATGCGACATGGATTTATGTACCTGGAAAAGCTTGGTACTCTTAAAATGGCACGATGATACAACCATATTCGTCAAAGAGAGTGTCAATTTCTTGCGCGTTCATAAATGACATTAACAGTTGTGCAATCTCTATTTCAACTGTTGATAAATTTATTATCGATAAATATGGAAGCTAACCGCCATGAAATAAATCTTTTTTACACCGACCTGATAATTACTAGAACATAAAAATATTAATAAAATTGTTATAAAATTTGAATTATAAGATTACACTTATATACTTATATAATCAATTAATAATTTGTGAAGATTAGAAGGTTATTCCAACTTACCACAATTCTCAACTTACCACAATTATAATATTTTATAAAAAGAAATCGTCTACTTATTTAATTTAAAATTATTAGAATAAATAAAATTCACAATCGAAAAATAAAGAATTAAATCGTATCAATTATTTTTTTAATTCGTCTAAAAGTAAAAATTTATTCAATTCTGCTTTCAATTGTCTTCGCTATCCAACGAGATGCTCATGGTTCTCAAGAGTGTAGCAGAATCGAGAGAAGATTCCGCGCACTTTCACACGAATCCGAAACTTTCATACGGTTTTATCTTCTCGCTGTGGTACGCACGAGAAGCTAACATTCCCTTTTCCCGTTCTTTTTCCACGGGATATAATTTTCTATTATCACATAAATGTGTCTGCTCGCTTCAAGTTTCCCAGCTGATTTGCTGAATCGCATTACCCTTCTTTTCACTCGCGGCCTGTTCACGATGAATTATTTATCGTGATCGTTGTTAGATGAAAAACTTGTTACGCGTTGATTCTTAATTTGACAATGAATAGTTGGATTTGTTTTTCTCATTTCTTCTTTTCTTTCATCTTTTTTACTTTTTTCTGCTTCCTTGTATATAATTTGTAACCTTTTCATCGGTGAATTAATATCTTATGATGGATATTAACAAGAATATTTGATAAAAAATTATGTATTTATTTCGAAAACGATATTTCTTCATTTTCTCTCTTATTATAAATTGTTTTTTTTTTAATTTTTCTTATATATTTACTTTCTTCAAACTTTCCTCGACATTTTGCACATATTTCTCATATTTAGAACTGTAATATGTGAAAGTTTACAGATTAGACACTTGTTAGAACAATCATGACAATGTCAAGTTTCTTTTAAGGTACCGTTAAGATGAAAGTGTTGAAGATTTTGTAACTTAACTTATCTGTAACTATCAACTTTTTCTCAAATATGCAAAATCACTAATAATTTTAATCATCGTAGAAAAAAAATATATAAATATAGAAGGTTAAGAAAGATTGAGAAATATGTTGTGAAACATGTTGACATGTTATGCGGAGGTGTTAATGTCAGACGATGATTTGCATATATGATTCTTTAAGCGAATTTACATAATCATTAATAAATTAATCGATGTATTTTGTTATTTCTTATAATTAATTTCTGCTAATTACTAATCTACTAATAAATAACATAAGTAACATTTTACATAAATTTAACTGATGTAGAAACGGAAAAGGAAAAGTTTAATTCAATAATGAGATTACGTTTTGACCGGATATTTTCCAACAGCCATCGTATATCATATTTGTCGATCATAAAATTTGCTTTTGAAGACAGATTTCCTTCCTCTACGTAAGAGGAAGTAATCTAATAGCGAAGCAGAACGATCTTGATCAGAGTTTTCATTTACAATATCCATTTTTGTCCTGTTCTATTGTGACCATTCTACGTAAAAAATTATTCTTAGATAAATTTATTTGAAATAAAATATAAAATAAAATATATAGGATATATCACACACATAAATTATTTGTTATTATTCCGAATGAATTGTTTGAAAAATAATTAAAAATAGATATAGCCACTCGAGATTCTTTTTTGAGCCGTAACTTGGAGAAGAATAAATACAAAATTTTAATCCTGCAACAAATAAAGTTGCATAAAAAAAGTTCTCGAATAAATATTTAAACTTTAATTCGTGTAAATATTTATTCAAACATTCAAACGGTCAAAACGATAAAAAAGCATCGATACAATCAACATTTCGACATATCATACAAAAAGAGAAAACAATAAAAGTAAAATTCATTCTTCTTCTATTATTTTTCTTCACTCTAACATTAGAAATTGATCTAGAAGCCAGTGATCAGTTCAAAAAATTCATAAAAACCTTTCTATATGAATATACGTCTGGCATAAGCGCGTGTATCGCGTACTTTAGAAAGTGTACATCTAAAATTTTTCCCTCTTTTTTTTCCATCCATCGCTTTCGTTGCCACTCTATGCATCGAATTCAACATGTATTCAACCATACATGGTGCCCGCTGTATTCTCCCTTGTAAATAATGATTTTTTTTTTTCGCTCGATTCCTGGCAAATGTTTTCCTCGGCGAGAGAGAAAGTCGAGGGAACCACGGCCATTGCGACGACTACCACGAGGACGATGGCAATGAATCTTCTTTTATTTCCATTTCCGGAATTGTGGGTCAAGTTCTTGTCCGAAAAGCAGATACAGCTGCTGCGTGTAGGCTTCGTGCCTCTCACGAAGGCGAAAGTTACTTCCACGCGTTCTCGACGACTGTTTCCGTGGTCCGAATATACTTTCGATATTGCGACATCGAAATCTTCTAGTAGAATATGATTTTATTCGAGGCATTGTCATTCCCAATGTCATTTAGTTTTCATTCAGTTTTGTTGCATGATAAGTTTAATTATCAATTAATTAGTTAACTAATAATTAATTAACCGATGAATGACAAATTACACGTTATATAGATGCTATGGTATTAAAGTCTTCTTTGTAGAATCTTTTTCATCTGAAATGTTTTTATTTAGTTTCACAATCTTTGCGTGTGATAAATTGCTAAATAATTAAAAAATTGTGGATGCAATTTTCTTTTGATATTAATTTCATCTGTATCGATGAATCGAATATCGAATAAACAAATATAAGATTTAATTAAAGATTTATTTAGATTTAACACGAATCTTGAGAATTAAAATTTTCTATTTTTACTACAGAGATTTTGTCTTATCTTTTTCGAACGCTCAAAGAAGATAATTATTCATATCTACATTAAATATCTACATTAAATATGTAAACGTGAAAGTGGCAATTAAAGATATGCATAAATAAAAAAGGAAATGTGTAACAAATCAAGTTGAGTTATGAGATGTATGACAATTAGACAGATACTTGACTGACAAATGACAATTGATTGATAAAAGATGATTAGCTCGATGTGAAAGCATGATGAATATTCTAATTATTGTTAGAAGAAGTAATTATTGAACTTTGATTTATAAAAATTAAAGTTTTCTGAATTTGGATTACAAAGAACATGAGAAATATATTTCGATTCGAGAAAATTTTCGCTATATATTTAGATTTTCAAATTATAATTTCAAGTTATCGAGATTCAATCGTATTTACAATTCCATTTATAATTCAGATCATTCTAATGATTAGGATGATTAATTCTAAATTTTAATAAAAACAACTATTGACACATATATTTTACATTACTTAAAAAATAAGAAAAAAGTTATGATGACTGCTATTTAAATGATTAATACTTTTTTATATATTCCATGAAGAAATACAGTTTTATAAAAAAAAAAAATTACGAAGATAATTTTTCAATAAAAAATTTTGTTTTTTCAGGAAATTTTTTTTTTTTGCTTGTGTCAACATAAGCATAGTAAATTTTGCAATTATAATATTAATGTTATAGCTGGGCAGTTTCTACGGTAATGACAAGACAAAATCTAATTCCAAGCGAAGATGGTTCACGCATGATCCATGCTTTGATACCGATGTGGGACATGTGCAATCATGAGAACGGGAGAGTGAGTTTGTTCATATATTGAAACGTTTATAGTAAAATGAAACGAATTTTAAAGATTATTAATATTTCTTATACAGAAAATTATATAATATTATAATATGCGTTATGGATGTTTTTCCAGATCACTACAGATTTTAATGCGACATCAAACTATTGTGAATGTTACGCTTTAAGAGATTTCAAAAAAGGGGAGCAAATATTTATTAGTTATGGACCCAGAACAAATTCTGATTTCTTTGTGCATTCAGGATTTGTTTACATGGAAAATAAACAAGTATATTTTTTAAAATTATTCTTTTTAAATTATTTCATTATTTTTGCATTAATTGCTGATTAACAAATAACTAACATTTAGTTTTTCTTTTTATAGGATGGTTTTAAATTACGACTCGGCATTAGCAAAGCTGATTCTCTTCAGAAAGAACGTATAGAATTATTAAATAAATTGGATTTGCCGACAGTTGGTGAATTTTTATTGAAACTAGGAACAGAACCGATTTCCGATTTGCTATTGGCATTTCTTAGAGTATTCAGTATGCGTAAAGCGGAATTGGCTCATTGGATCCGATCGGATCGTGTTAATGATTTAAAACACATGGACTGTGCATTAGAAACTGTCGTTGAAGAGAATGTCAGAAAATTTCTGCTCACTAGGCTGCAATTGTTAATTGCTAATTATCCGACGACTCTGAAGGTGAAAGTGAAATAAAACATTAGTGTGAAAAAGCAACATCGTATCGGCATGAAAATAACAATTCTCTTGTTTTAATATATTTCTTTCTCTTTTTCGTTTTATAGGAAGATCTACAATTACTTGAAACGACTTTACCACAAATTAAGAAATTAGCCATTCAATTGAGAGTAACAGAGAAGAGAATTCTTCAGGGTGCGCTCGAATATGTGGAACAATGGATCAAAGCTTAAGAATATGACAATTGAATTTTAATCTATAAAATCATGGAATCAAATTTTTATTCTTATTTTTAAAAGAATTTTACAATGGGATATAATTTTTATGGATTTGTGGTTTCAAAATGATAGGAAACTGATACAAATCATTTGAAGAATGATCAATATATATATATAATAAAATAATGTGTGAAATAATGAAGGACAGATAGAAAAGGGAGCAATGGTGTAAAATACATTAAAGTGTATAAAACATTGAACAAACTATATATATATATATCTATGTGTATTAACAAGTATACAATGCAAAATAATTGCGTATTTCATGATATTGTGACTCTTGTTTTCGAGAGATGAGAACTTCGCGAGCACAAATAATTTTTAAAACTAACAATGTTTTTTCATCAAATTATAAATCATGTGCTTATTGAGCTCTAATCTCCGATTACAAGATTTTACAAATACAATACTTTTATTTCAGCTTTGATAAAAAAAAAAAAAGAAAAAAAAATAGAAAAATAACATGTACAAACAAAATGTTACTATTCATGAATATTTATTTTTCAAATGAGATAGTTAAGAGATCTAATTCTTTATGTAAGCTATTGTGCGATATTACACAGGCCTACAAAAATCAGACTTATAAACGATTAATATACCGTAAGATTTATCGATAATTGTATCGAATTTTAACAATATGCATAAAACTAAGACGAACAGCGAGTTCCAGATACTTTTCAGCCATAAAATGTTGCATTGTATCATGTTTACCCTCGAAATTTTATGCGATTATATTTAAAAAGAAATTAAAAGATGCTTATGTGAATGATAACTATATATACATATATGAAGAAAAATATATCAATGTATTTAAATGAAATTATATAAATCAATTCAATCATGCGTATAACAAGGATAATAAGATAGAATAATCATTAATTAATTAGAAATGGCTACAGCAGGACTGATAGCTCTATATATTGCTTTTTTCAATATATTGGGGCAGACATGATACAGCCAAATATAAATGTCACAATAACTTAATATTACATTTTCCTCTAATATAAAACACAGAAAATTTATGACGTGATTATATTATTTTAATAAACTGCTAAAAAATTACCTTTATTATCTGATCAAAAAAGTTCTATTTCTTATTCAGGAATTACATACGAGGTTCTTAATTATATTTGTTAAAATAATGTCATTTATTTTATGACGATATTTGTATTTCGAACATGTGAAAGAGATGATTCTGTATTTTACATGATTGCTAAAAAAATATACAGATATATGTTTATTCTTAAAGAGAGAGGTAAAACTGGAATACAGTTTATTTTAGAACTTTTTGATCAGATATGATCAAATGTACTTATCTATAATTTATAAGTTATTTATTGCCAGTCATATTTAATTGTGTTTAATATATGCTACAGAGTGATTTATAGCAACGGCACGAGTTTTATTATTACGAGTAATTTTTAGCAATAGTTTTTATGATTTATTTTTATTCCCGCTATCTGTAAAATTACAATGTTACCTTATATTCATAGCGCGTTTTGCAATTTAATTTTATTGTTTGCTAAGGTTACATTATTGTTTCCATTAGTATAATCTGCAGATTTATTTTTTAATTCACTGAGTATTATATCACTGATAGACTCTTCCTTTTGTTCCCCATTACAATCCTTTAATATTTCTTTTTTAACATTTTCAATATTATGATCTTCCTGAAGATGTAAAACTAAAGAAGGTAAGGCATAAAATAATTTGTCACAAAGATTGCACTGGAATGTCTTGCCATCTGCTGCCTGTAAACAATATTCATAATCTTTCATAGAACTATACGTTTGTCTATGTAATGCTAAATGTTTTTCATGGTCCATAGCAAGAATAAATTCGTAAGAACAAATTGGACACTTTAAATTATGCTTTGTCCATATAGTATGTGCTTTTAATCGATGTAAACTATCATAAATTTTACCACAAACAGGACACTTCATGCATTTATGATTATTTAATGTTTCTATGCTTTCATATAATCCACTACATTCTTTACACTGGTAATTTCTTTCCCTTCTACATGCATGTTTAAACCAATGTTTTTCTAATTGTGGTAATAAATCAAATACTAGTTTGCAGAGGGTACATACGAATCTTCCGCGACGATCTCTTTTCATAGTAAAGTTTGATGTTCTGATATCCCAATGTTTTTCAAAATTATTCTTACGCATTAAATTTTCATTACAAAATTCACATTGGTCTTGATGTTTAGATAAATGAGTGAATAACATACCAGGCTCAGTATTTGTATAATTACAAAAGGAACATATAAAAGTATCATCTTCCTTATACATATGAGAATATAAATGTTTTTGGAATGAATTTGGAGTAAAAAACAGTGCACCACATGCTGGACATTTCAGATAAGGTTTACCTCTTTCTGTATAATATAATGGCAAAGGTCTTAAAGTTTGTAGCCAATCAGTATGATCTTTGGAATCTAAAATATTTTGATCCATAGAAGACTCTTCATAATCTATTTCTTCCATGGTTGGCACACGTTCATCTATATCAGTAGAAATGATTGAATGTTCTTCCTCTTTTATTTCAACTATTGGTTCATGTTTGGGTATAAGTTTTCTTAATAATAGCATTTTATTACGTCGTTTTGAACAATGTCGGACTTTAGATTTCTTGTTATCTAAAGAGCATTCATTATTTAATTTTTTTGTCATTAATGCATTATCTGATTCTAATTGTGTTATTATTATAAACTCTTTATTATTAGGTACAGAAGTAACATATGATAAAGGTGAGTCAGCTCTTAAATCATCCCAATCACTAATAGTACTTTCACTAGTAACTTCAGAATCATTTTCAATTGACAAAAGTTCAGAGGATACATCATCTTCCTGAGATTCAATATCATCATCATCTGCAGAGAGAAGTGCTGTTCTTAATATTTCTCCATTTACTAAATAACTATCTCTTTCATAACTTTCACCATTTCTTGTTTCATTAGTTTCTTCATCTTCTATTGGATTTTTTGAAAAATCTTTACATTCTGGATCTTCTAATGTTAACATTTTGTATTTATAAAAATTATATGATTTGTACTGATAATTACTGTAACACAAAAGATAAAATATTACTTTTGATTACAAATTGTTTACATGGAATGTTCTCAAAGAGGAAACATAACCTCACTTTTTCTTATTCGCCGCATCTTTTGCATTCATAACATTCATCATAAGTAAATAATAATCAAAATAAATTCTTGAACATATCTTGGTAATGATCAGATAAACAAAATGTACTTACATGTAGACATTTAACGTAGCCCCTCCTTACGACGCTCTTTGCAGTGCAAACATCGATTTGTATCTGCGTGGAATTCTTTAAAGATGTATTAGAAGATGAGCAAAAAAAATATTTATTACAAGAGAAATTCTTCATTCAATTTTCGAAATTCCACGAAATTCGTAATTCTCTAAGTTTTCATTATTCACATTCGAATAACTTTGATCAGCTGTTTTCTGATTACACAAAATTGACAGGACGTCTCGGTGCGCGTCCAACCGATGACCTGCCGATGGTGACACGAAAAGTATTTCTCAACTTCTCCATTATAAACTTCTATATATTCCATGCAATTTATCTAAGGTAAGAGAAGATTACTTAAAATACTTAACTATATACATTAAAAATTATTATAATTTACATAATATAATTCATTTTCTATTTAATAAAATATATTGCATTGTGTCAAAATGCGAAATACATTTATTAATTGTCTTTCATATACAAAACGTGAAGTTGAGAAACACTGTCATAGAAATAACGCATGTATATAACTGTACACAGATGTACATAGAGATATAAGATCTGAGATTTATTAGAATAAATATGAGAAATAAAAATATTTTTAATATGTATGTATTTATACTTGATTTGCATTTATAAAAAAGTAACAAGTAAAATTAATGTACAAAATTATTATTTTTAATATCTTTATTTTAACGTTGTGTATATGTATATGTATATATATATATATATACGAAAAACAGAATCGTAATAAATAACGGTAAGTTCTAAATATTCCTTTTTAATTATAATAAAAATATTTAACTTTTTTAACAATTATAATTATTTTAACTATTTAACAATATTTGCAAACTATTTATTATCAAATTAAATATCAAGCTATAATATATTACGAAGAAATGTTTCTCCTTAGAAATACTTACATAAAAATTTCGTCAATCTAACAAATCAAAGATAATTTATTTAATATTTAATATTTATTTTCTAAATTCTCAAATTAGATTTTCAAGTGAATTGTACAGTATTTTAATTTTCTAACAATCGAATCTCAATATTTATTGCAATTCACTCGAATGTTCAAACGATATTATCGAAGATTATATCTTTCGAGATATATTCTTTCAATTCTTACTTCGTTTCTTATGTTCGTGTCCATGACCGTAGTCGTGAGTGTACGGAAGAGGTTGATAGCCGTAACCGTGGCCGTGACCGTATTCGTGACTAAAACCGTGGTGGCCGAAACCATGTCCGAAACCGAGGCCAAAACTATGACCGAAATGTACAGGTAGTGAATGGCCATGCAACGCGGGATAAATGTGTCCACTGTTATAACCATATCGAGCGGCATATGCTCCTGCACCAATCGCGCCTGCACCAAGGAACGGAATTGGCGATGATTGGACCGGAATCGGAACTGGAACCGGAACCGGTATTGGATATACTTGTTTTACCGGAACTGGATACGGTTGTTGTACTGGAACTGCAACAGGATGTTTCACCGGTATTGGAATAGGACGTTCCACTGGAACTGGAACTGCCTAAAGAGCAATTAAATTCAATTAATTAATAGTTTGTAAGAAAACATTTCCACAATTTGAATGAAAGTGATTAGATCGAATATGTCATATTTAAGAAGAATTGTAAAAGTTAACCTTAATGTCTAATGATTATGTACAAAATCACTTTTTCCCAAGGTAACACCATATCTTTAATTCTTAAAGGATCGTTTTTCCAAAATAATTATTAATTTTAAGCAATCTAATATTCGTTCTTATTTTATTAATGTCATTTGAACAATAAATTAGAATATTTGTTATAAGAGAAAATTTTAAAATATTTTTTACCTCGGGTATCGGAATAGGAACTGGTACTGGTTTATGAATGATCTTTTCGACCGGAACTGGGATCACCTTCTCGACAGGCACATGATATGGTTTTTCGATGTAAACTGGCTCTGGAACAGGAACTGGTTTCTCCAGAACTACATGTTTTGTTATATATATTGGAACCTTTAATAATTCGGTTCTTCCGACTGATATAGGAAAAGCTTTTCCATATGAAAATCCACCATGTAATCTATAAAATATTATAAGTATCATTATTTTTAAAAATTTAACATTATTTATTTATTTATAATATGATAAGTATATAGATATATTTATTTAGGTATATTTAGATATATTTAGAATTAAAATAAGATAAAAATATTAATAAAATAAAATAAAAATATTAAGATATAATATTAATTTAAAAATAATGAATTTAAAAATTTATTTTTACCCTCCATGAGCTAAATCAAAAGGAGGATATTTTAATCCTTTCCAAATTGGACCACCCAGCCACGGTTGTCCATGGCCGTATCCATAAGGATTTGGTATTCCAATCCATCCATTAGATTCTGGTATTCCTCGTTTACTTTGTTTTGTTTCGTTTGTTTCTGCAGTTAAGGCGTAACCACAGAAAAATATTAAGAACAACTGAAATTTAATGTTTATAAAATTATGATAATAAAATTAATGTATATTATATGAATATATACATTATAATATAATATAAATATAAATTTAGAATAGATAAATTTTTTTTAAAAATGAAGTAAAAAGAAATAATGCATCTATCTGATAAATTATTTAATTCCAAGTTTTCTTCAATAATTTATCTTTAGTTCAATTGTTTGAATTATTGAATAAGGAAAATTTGCTAACTCATTGTTATTATCAATTTATCACGTTTACTTAACACGTCTATTTAGCAATATTGCAGATTTCTTGGTGAGATTCAAAAATGATCAAAGAATTATTGAATATAACGAGTTATTGTTAAAAAATTTTTATGATTATTAAAGACTTTAATACACAAATATAAGAAATATTTCTTCTTTTTTAATTGAATTATTGATTATATAATTAAAGTGCAAATGAATAAAAATTATTGATATTTAATAAAATAAAATGATAGAGGTAAATTTATGATTTCTAATAGTGATCTAAAGTTTTTTTTACAGTAATATTTAAACATCATTTTACAATAATGAGAAAAAAATAACAGTTTATCTAACTCATACGTTATAATAAAAAAAAAGAAGACATACAATACATACTAAGAAAACTTTTCCAGAGAAAGAATTAGTCCGAAAGAAGATCGAAAGAAACGATTTTTCGTCATTAATAATACTTGTTAATTATCCTTACCGAGATCATATACATTGTAGTCTTGTCGAGAAGAAACTGTTCAATGAATCGAGAAAACGTTAGCTTTATATATTTCTCGTCTATCCAGATAAACAGATCGATTGATCCAGATGGTCCAAGTCAGGTTCCCGTGTTTGATGTGATCAGGAACTCGACCTTGTTAATTGACAGGTTTTGTATTTCCGCTGAAGAAAGTAGTCAAGAATTGTAATGAATCTTATTTATGCCATATTTGATATCTTCAAATGTAATATTTTCTTGAATTTTTAGTTTGAATTCATATAATGTTGTGACAAATTTTATTAACATCGTTTATAATGATTAAACTTTGAATTTAGAAGATAATAATAATGCTTGAAAATGAATAATATTTTATTGAATAGGATTTCAATTTTGTTTTCTTGTATCTTCTCTTTTTTTCTATTGTCATTCTTTATTTATCTTTTTTTATACTTTATTTTTTCTTTTTTATCTTTTTCTTTTAATTTTTTTATTTAGAAACTGAAAAAATAATTGTAATAGTGACTTTTTTCATTAATCATATATAACATAAAAAAGAATTTTAATATCGTATATAATATAATAATTGCATATAGTAGATAATATTCTTATCATTATAATTAATTAGTCGATTAAATATAGGTTTATCGCTTCATAATGTATTATTTTATAGTCACTCGTGCTATTTCCGCTTTAATTATTTTATCTATTTATTGTTCTGAGCATGTAGAGCGAAATTAAGTGTAAAAGCAATAATAATTACCAATTTGAAGCAATAAGTGGCAAAATGAAATTGCCATAATGAAATGGCAAATGGATATATGTGCATATATATGCATAAACTATATTTAAAAAAAATAAATCTTGAAAAAATAAATTGTTACGAATGCTATTTTAAAATCATATAAAATCATATATAATATTATTTTTTTTAAATTAACTATCAATTTTACAACAACGAAAATCTTAAAGTAAAAGAATAAAGAGATTTACATTAGTAAAGTATTTCAAATTAGTTTAGCAATTTGATTAACAATTATAAAAACTGAAAAGAATATTTCAACTTCAATTTCAATTCAAATTTCAATTCAAACCGTTCTAAGATATTTTCCACGAAATTGTTTCGACATTCTTGGCATTCTCGAGAATATGTAGAAGGATTCCACGAATAGAATAAATCAGGATTCATATCACGATTCAGACCTGTTGTACGCATAACATTTTTCTGTTTCTGTAACACGGAGATATTGACTTTACTCGACCAACAAGATCAAGAAAATGAACCGGACCGTTTCTTGCACCAGAGGTGATAGTTTGTTTCCGTATTGGCCGCATCCGCGAACTTTCTTAACTTTCATTTTCTAATACGTACGAGCTACTTCTAATACCGACCATCCATTATTCATCGTTATAAATGCTAGTGAACGCATAACATGATTGTACGTGTGTATCAATCCAATGTCTATAATGACGAAATAGTTGACCATCAAGTTTGATGGCTTTAATTAATTTTTAATTCATTTCCATTCAATTCTTTAAGATATTAATTTCAATGACTTTGTTTCATATGTAATCAATATAAAAGAAGAAAGATAGCAATTTTATATATAATCAATATTGTTCTTTTACAATGTTGTCTCTTCCAATGATGATCATCAATTAAATGACATCAAAACGATTTATACATTACAGATAAATAAAATCAAATCCGCTTGGATCCACTTGGAGGAATAATCCGCTTGCAGATTCTTATTCAAGTAACAAGTAATACTTTTTCTTTGCAAAATAATTGAATGTCACGATCAATAAGCGACTTTTTTTCGAATTTGCATCTATTTGAAAAAATTGAAACAAATGATAACGATTCGATCGTTTGAATTAATTTATTTTAAAATCGAAGAATAAATCACCAAGAGTATTAATGACAATTATCGAGTCATTCACCATTTTGATCCAACATTATTTCCTAAACGCACATTTCACGCTTACGACAAACTATTATTAGTATTCTCGTGCTAAAGCTGCAACAACATTTCCGTCAGGATGTAAAAAAAAAAGTATTCAATCGCATAACCAAGTTGCTATAGAATCGTGTCACGATCAGACGCATCGCTGTTCTTATTAATTTGAATCTTCACGTAGACAATTTTCACTTGGCCATAGGTTGTCTATCCGAACGATCTCGAAGACGATAATTCATCACGTGAAATACTATCATACGATCGTTTGAATGGACGAATAACCCTTCTCGTTCTCTTATGCACATAGTCGTGCTAGTTAGGTATACGAAAGAAAAGCGGTCACGACCAATATTTGGCCATCACCCAGGATAGGTAACAGCGAAAGTTCATTGATGACGACGATACTTCTTCCTAGTGTGATGTGTCACCAGTGGATGCCCTATAAATACTTATGGGGGTCACGATAGCGAGCAGTTTTTCTTCGGCATCGTAGTTGTCAGCTTAGACTTAGGGAGTCTTCCAAGGATCAATTATGAAAATTATTTTGGTATTGTTCCGCTGGTTCTATTTTTTTAAATCTTCATCATCTTTAATGTTATATTCGTGTCGTTTTTGTTTCGTTTTGTTTAATTCTTTTCTTTTTCTAATGGTTACATTGTTTGTTTTTAATAGTGTTTTTAAAGTTGTGATTAAATTAATTATAAATCAGTGATCGAAGGAATGGAGAACTATTGAGGATATATATAAAATTGTTTAATGAACATTTGAACAATTTTCTTTTATTGGCAATAAAATTTTAATTTATAATTTATTTATTTTTCTTGATACTTATTCAATTTATAAGTTATTATAAACTTATTGATTAATTAAATATATATATATATTTCCTTTTGTGAATATAAATAACTATGCAATTTAAATAGTTTATTTTTAAATGAAAAAAAAAAGAAGAAAAACTTATATTATTTTTGTAATAACATGATTATATGAAATTTGAATTATTTATTAATTTTTGTTTCTTTTTTTTAATAATCTTATATTAAAAAATTTTTGTATGAATTAATTTTTTTATAAAAATTGCATCAAATAGTATTTATATTTCTCATCAAATAATATTTATATTTCTCATCAAATAGTATTTATATTTATTCAATTACTCGATTTATTTGCAGATTCTTCCATTATTCCTGGTAGTCAGTACAGCAATTACTGTCGAAAAACATGAAAAGATTAACAATAAATTATTAAAGAAACATGATAAAAGAGGACTCACAAATTTAGAATATAGTTTATCCGAGCCTGGATATCATCCTCCTGAACCAGCTATCTTTGAACCTTCTGCTCCCGATCTAAGTGGACATTTGGAATCTGCAATAGCACCAGTTGCTCCTCCACCTGCTGTATTGCATCCAGCTCGTTAGTATATTTTTTAATTTATATATTTTATTTTATAACACATAATAAAAATATTAAAAATGATCAAATTTGTTGAACACAGGATGGACTATTTTATATCATCATATTTCATTAATGATCAGAGTAATATATTTTTATTTCACAGATTAAAGAATTGAAAGATGAAAACGAAAAATACTATGTTTTTTAGCTCGATGAATTTGTTGAAAAAGTTGAGAGTTATATAAGTGAAATATTATCTTGAAAGTATATCATCGAAGAGAAATTTAAATATTCTTTTAAGTAATAGTAAAAGTTTGAGTTTATGAAAGAAAGAATCGTTACTATTGCTATTTATAGTTAAGAACATGTTTTTGAATAATTGAATTTAGATATGGAATATAAATTAGATTTAATGTTCTTATTTCAAAGGACTTGATGACGAAAGAAATTTTCTAAATAATATTCTAAATAATTTTCTTTTTTGATTCTCTTTACTTACCCTGTGTTATTTTTCTTTGATATTTATTTTTTCGAATGGAAGTAAACAATAAATGATTTTTAATTTTTTTAATTTATAAATATTTATTTCTACGGTAGGAAACGAAAAACTTTCATTTTTAAGTTTATTATTTTTATTATTATATATTATATATCTCTATATTTATATTTACTTCTAGATATCTTTGTTATAATATTGTCATAATATATATATGAAAATCACGAATGAGCCAGCTTAGCAGTAAAGGACTATAACACCATCTTTTTCTTCGATATTAATCGAAAACTTCATCCGATTCAAGATTAACGCATCCTCATTAATTGCCTCGTCACAAAGATAACTTAAAGGATGACAATTCTAAAAACATTAATCACAAATATCATCATGCATATCTACTATACATTACGCATTTAATCAAACTAAAATATTTCTATTTCAATAGCTGCAGTTCCAGTTCCTGCAGTACCGGTGCCACAGCCCGTTCCACATCCGGTTCCAGTCGCAGTGCCTCAGCCAGTTCCACATCCGGTTCCAGTTGCGGTGCCTCAGCCAGTTCCACATCCGGTTCCAGTCGCGGTTCCTGTGACTAAACACGTGCCAATTCCCGTACCCATCGATCGAGCGGTTCCAGTTCCAGTGGATCGTCCTGTCCCTGTACCAGTCGCGGTTCCGGTCCCGAAACCATATCCGGTCCACGTGGAGAAGATAGTGCACGTTGACAGACCTGTGCCAGTTCCATTCGAAAAGCCAGTCCACGTGCCGGTGGATCGACCAGTGGCTGTTCCTGTTCCAGTGCCAAAACCATATCCGGTTCCCTTCGAGAAGATAGTTCACGTGGACAGGCCTTATCCGGTCCATGTGGCGGTACCTTATCACGTTCCCAAACCTTATCCAGTTCCAGTTGCTATTCATGCTCACAAGTCGCATGGATGGCTTAAATAAGACTCCATTGGAATATTGTTGTTAGATATTGATGGTAGAACTACTAACGGTTGATATTAACGATTCTGTGTAGAATTTGATGTTTTATTTCATTAAAATTTTTTTATTGGATATTTGTTTATAACTCGACTTGAATTTGGATATTATAATTGAAACTTGTTTATTCAAATTATTTTGGGGACAAAGTCGGATAATTAAGTTTTAAAAAAAATTTATAATATGCAATCTATAATTTATAATTGCAAATCTATATAGTACATAGAAAAATTGTAAATATTTATAAATTGGAGTAATTTTGAAAAAAAATTACAAACCAATTATTTTGACTGCGTTAATAGTTCTTACATGAGAAACATTATATTAAAAATATAATATATTCAAAAGAATTACCTAGGGTACTATTGTCATTATTTCAATCAGTATTTCAATATTCAGTTGATTGTTTTTTTGATTCTTTTGATACTAGTCCGCTTTAGCAATACATATTTTTATTAGTCGATCGTTGATTACATATTTAGTTAGATATTTTTAACAAGTAAAATGATGTATTGCAAAAATGATGCAAATATTTCATAGATAGACATTGCCAAGATTTTTTTCTATTAACAAATTTTCAATACATTTTGAAGTTGTAAAAAGGAAAGTTAATAAAATTGTTTTTTAAAAAGTATTTTAACTGATATCATTGATATTTATTTATTATTTTATTAATATTTTTATTAATATTTATTCATCGTAATCCTTTATCAATATCATTTTATCTTTATCATTACTTTAAAGTGGTTATTATAATTTTAATTTAAAAATATTATGTATCATTTAATCCAATTTCCTTAACCGTGTATAAGTACAACTAATAATGTAAAAGTTTTCGATTCGAACGTGTTTTATAAAGAGATATCTATAGAATGCTCATATTTAATACATTCTTCTACACTTTTACGCTCGATAGGCGTTACACTTGACACCAAAGAATAACGTAGTGTCATAAAAAACAAGTCTATAAAAACTTAAATCCTTAACACAAGAATTGTATTTTTTGTCATTCGAATCTACGAATCTAGAAAATAAATTTTTATAATTAAACTATTAAATTAAAAAAAAATTTATAATAATCATCAAATTCTAAATCAAATAATTTTAGAGGTTTATATACCAAAGAAAATTTTAATTTTCGAAAAAATTGATTTATAAATTTAAAAAATTTTATATAAAATTTATCAAAAATCGATCAGTTCACAAATGTAATTCAAATTATACGTTTTTCCACTTCTTGAAAAATGATTTTGCACAAATTGATTTCTCGAATCAACCATCTCAATGTAATATTTTTTACAAATTAAAACTTAACGAACTTTATTACTTTCTAAATAAATCGGAACAAAATATTTCGAGAAAAAGATAGCCTAAAATTTGTATTAGAAAATTTCGAAATAATTCGCACATAGATAGCGCAAAAATTCGCGATACGTGGTGACGCAGGAGTGGACGCGTGACCGGCGTCGTCATCGAGCTTCATCGAGGCACGAAACTGTCAGTTCTTTCACGCGAACACTCGAAGATCGACGATATAGGATCTAATAAACCTATTCGTTCTCCTCTCGATCGACCATCGACACTGTATCCACAATCTCGTTCATTTTAAGGTGTGCAAAAAAGCTTGCGCGACAAACTCTTTTTTGTTTGAAAGTTGAAGAACAAGTGATGAAATCGACGAAAGATTACAACTAGAAAAAAAAGAAAAAATTAAAAAAAAAAAACTTCTCTTAATTATAATAATAATTATATAATGTATAACGCAATGGAGAAATTTTGAAAAATTAGTACGAATAATTATATGTAATAATATTTTAATGTAAAAGTTCTTGGAAATCATAGTAATTCGCGCTTTTTTTTTTCGAAGATATTTGAGCAAATGCATTTCAAAAAATTGATATACGATGTAACGACTCGATTTTTCCATCGAGGAGTCCATGTTATTCTGCATTCGTCGTTTGTGAGTCTGCAATCGTTTGTAACAACCGGAAGAAAACTTCATGAAACTCTTCGTGTACCAGTCGGATGCAAGGTTTTCAGAATTTGATCAAAGTTGTCGCGTTTCGCGATCGAAAATTAAATTACGGATCTATAAAACGGATCTTCGATTGATCGTTTCAATTTGTTGCTAGAATTATTGAAAATGACCAGTTTTATATTTTTCAGAATTAGCAATGAGCTATATTTAGATAGATAATTGATTAAATTTATTTATTTATCTTTATTATATAAATTGAAATTTATTATTATATTGTAATTTCTTTTTCTTTTGTTAATTTATTTATCTCTTTTCAACATTCAGAAAGACATTGCAATTTTGTATTTTTCATTATTTTATTATATCTTTTTATCGTTATATCTTTTCTGCAATGTTTTCATTGATCTCATTATTTTATCTTTCTTTTCCCCCTTTTTTTTATTACAATTTTTTATTTTTTTTTTTAATTATATTTCCCGTTCTCTTTTTTCATTGACGATGGAAAATTTTATCTTCGATCGTAATATATATATTGTATAAATTATTCATGCTTGGAAAAATTTTCTCATTTATATCTATAATACAATGAAAAGAAAAAAACTCAATAAGAAAAAAACGCATCATTAATTAGTTAATATTGTGTTATATTTTGTCTCTTCTTGTCGAATCTCTTCTTAATATATTGTTTTAAATCTATGTATCGATCGGGAAAGTGATATGAATATAAAATGGATTGACACCAATAATTGTGATTGTTTTAGCGTGTTACTATGAAGCCGAAAAAATTGGGAATCATTGGCGGTTCGTTGCTTGCTTTTGGAATTTTGATCTGTGCAATTGCTTTTCCTCCATTTCTGAAATCACAAGTGAAAAAAGTGAGTGAAAAAAATAAAGAAATTTCGTTTGATACGTCATGTTTATCGTAACCATACTTGATAAAATATAACAATATTACAATTTATTAATAATTACGAAATAAATTATCTTTTTAAGTTTATTTTAATGGAAATACAAATGATTAAATTTGAAATTTTAATTCATGACATTTATTTATGTAATGCGAAAAAATTTTCCATTGAAATATACGAATACAGATTTTATATTCAAGATATATTATATTTAAATAAGTATATTTTTTATTGTGTTCGTTCAAATTAAAATAATGATTTTCCGTTTTATTTCTCGATTTTATCAACTTTATCAAGTATAATTACGATAAACATGACGTATCAAATTATCATGATCTAAACATTATATAGTTATATACACATCATTATTATTACATTCAATTTTTCACTAGTTTTCAATCTGTCATTATTTTTAATCGCACTTTATTCGAAATAATTCTCATTTATTAGTATTCATTATATTCAGCATTACTTTCAACTTTATATAATTGTTTCTATACTTCTATACTAATCAAACTTTTTTTTATTCTTATTATATCTTGTTTTTATCTGAAATAAAATTTTAATCTTATTTTTTATCTAAGTTTATTATTATTATTGAATAAAGTAATAATTAATTATAATTTTTTAAAAAAAGATATTACGTTATTAACAAAAATGATTGTATCTGATTGTTGTCAAATTTCATTCAATTTGATAAAAATTCAATATAATTTAAACTTTAAACAAAACATGGAAATATTATAACTTTTACAATAATCGTAAATGCATAAATATAAAAAACGATTATCTATTCGCTATTATTACATTAATCGAATATGAGAAATTACAACGATATAAATATCGTTATATCTAAACATATTTTTTTTGCATTATATAAATATTATATATAATTGAAAGTTTAAAAATTAATAGCAAATAGCCTTAAAAGATGGATCCGAGATGCGGGAATTATGGTCCAATTTCCCTATTCCTTTGGACTTTAAAATTTATCTTTTCAACGTAACGAATCCCATGGAAATTACAGCGGGAGAGAAACCAATTCTCGAGGAAGTAGGACCATTTTTTTACGAGTGAGTGATATATTATGATATTAATAAGATCTATGAAATTAACATTTAAAGTTTCGTTTCTTTTTTTTTTTTTTTAAATCTTATCTTATCAAAACGAAAAATACAATATATAATACTTTTTTCACCAATCAAAATACATGGAAAATATATATGATTTGCAAACATTTATGTTTTTATTTTAAAACATCTTCATTACAACATTATGCGAAAAGAAAACTTCTAACAGTAAAAATCGATCGTTCCAGCGAATACAAACAAAAGGTGGATCTGGTCGATCGAGAAGAAGACGATAGTTTGGAGTATAACTTGAAAGCGACATGGTTCTTCAATCCATCTCGAAGCGAAGGATTGACCGGTGAAGAAGAACTGGTCGTTCCTCACGTTCTTATTCTGAGCATAATCAAACTCACTCTCGAGCAACAACCAGCCGCCATAGGGATTCTCAGTGAGCATCTCGATCATTCCTTTTACCACTTCCGATCAAACATATTTCCTTTATTTCGATTCAAAAGTGAAGGTCGACACGACTTAGAATACTTGAGAAATACTTGAGAACGAAGAAACAGGGTCAAGAGAAACTATTTTACTTATACCTAAGTAAACGATAAGTTACTCTCGCCTTGAACCGATGGATCAATTGATTCACGTAACGCCTTGTTTAACTATCGTACGTGTCTATTTCCGTTTTTCTTATACGTTTCTTCCAGGTGTTTTTCGTAAGAATCTTTACACGTGTATGAGCTTCAAAATTATTGGGTGTAGGAAATATGCTTTTAATTTCATAGTTTAATAACACGATAGTAGTAGAGCGAAAAGTTTTTCTTGATAAACGAGTTACGTTGGTATTTTGATTTATAAATAATTTAGCATTTATCTTTAAAGAATAATATTTTTTCCTGTAAATAATGTATTAATGATGCGTTGCTTTGGAGGTAATAAATTCAATTTGTCTATGTATTTATTTTCCATAAAATTTTCTGGAAAATTGATATCAATGATTAATTGAAAAGCATAAATCTTTATCGAAAGATTTTATTTGATTTAATTTAATAAGATAAACACGATTATTAATTAATAATTTAAATTTTCACGTTTTTCGTAGATAAGGCTGTGGATAATATTTTCAAGAAACCTAGTTCTGTCTTCATAAGAGCGAAGGCAAGGGAAATACTTTTCGACGGTTTACCAGTTGATTGCACGGGAAAAGATTTCGCCACGAGCGCAATTTGCAGCGTTTTGAAAGAAAAGGACGACGCTTTAATGGCTGATGGACGAGGGCGTTACTTGTTCTCACTTTTCGGCCCTGTACGTATATTTATTTTATGATCATACATTCATATAAATTTAATCAATAGAATCTCTATTCCTATATATAATTTTTAATCAAATCATTTAATTCGTAATCGAGCTGATTTCGAGAAAAATTATCTCCTTACTTTTTCTTATCATCGATACAGAGAGAATATATTCAATGAGATTTTTAAATCCTTGTTCAATATAATATTTTTCAGAAAAATGGCACCGTTCTTCCCGAACGTATACGAGTGTTGCGAGGTATAAAAAATTACAAGGACGTGGGGAAGGTAACCGAAATCAATGGTAAAACGAAGTTGGATATTTGGGGGGAGGGTGATTGCAACGAATTCAATGGCACAGATTCAACGATCTTCGCGCCATTGCTCACGGAACAAGACGAGATTGTCTCATTTGCTCCTGACATTTGCAGAAGCATGGGGGCTCGTTTCGATTCATACACACAAGTCAAAGGTAGAGTATTATATTTCAATCATAATTTTTTCTTTCAATAATGACGAATATGTCATTTCTTCATTTTTGCGACATAACTAGTAGTTGTAAACTTATTTTAAAATAGGTAAAGATTATTAATAAAATATTTAGAAGGTTCAAAGGTCATTCTTCTTTCTTCTTTTTGCTTTCTATCGATTTATATAATTTATAAATATTTTTTTTTTCGAACAGGCATCAACACATACCATTACAAAGCTGATTTGGGCGATATGAGTTCACATCCGGAGGAGAAGTGTTTCTGTCCCTCGCCGGATTCTTGTTTAACGAAAAATCTCATGGATTTGACCAAGTGCGTAGGTGCTCCGCTTATAGCTTCCCTCCCACATTTACTTGGAGCGGAAGAAAAGTATCTAAAAATGGTTGATGGACTTCATCCGAACGAGGTGATTATTATTTTCGTTATTATTTTCAATTTAATAAATATTCCATTCATTCTGTATATTTTATTCACGTTACGTGTTATAAGTTTAAAAGGAAAACGTGATTTTTTTTTTTTACAGGAAGAACACGGAATCGCCATGGACTTCGAACCAATGACAGCTACTCCTTTAAGCGCGCACAAGAGGCTACAATTTAATTTATATCTTCACAAAATTGAAAAGTTCAAATTAATGAAAAACTTCCCCGAATGTTTGTTCCCAGTATTCTGGGTCGAGGAAGGAATATTGCTCGGTGATGAATTCGTGAAGAAATTGAAGACCGTGTTCAAGACAATAAGTATAGTCGGGTAAGTAGCTTTTTCTTTTTTATTCTATCATCTTATTTTATAATAATATCTTGACGTATATATATATATATATATACATATATATATAATCTCGAAATATTTATATTTATTATAGATTTATGAAATGGTTCACAATAGTAAGTGGTACTTGCGTGAGTGGAGCAGCTGCTGGGTTATTCTTTAAGAATAAAGACAAAAATAAACTCGACATCACGAAGGTAACACCGAAAAAAAGTGAAGAGAAGAAATGGCCTAACCAGATGACTATCAGTACGATACAAAGTGCAGCAGTACCGCCTAATCTTGACGCGGATTAAATGTATTGATTTTACATATTTTGTTTTTACATATTTGTTGAAAGTAAGAACAATCGAGACTTGTGTTTTATAAGTATAAGTGAATCATTTTTAAACGGATCATTATTGAATTGTAACGCCTCAAAATATTTGGATATAGTGCAATAATAATTATGGATCATAGTGTATATTAGAAGATTTGATATAACAATTATTAGATCATTCTGGCTGATATGAGTCATTTAAAAAATGATGGGTGTGCACTTATAACATATTTCGTGCAAATATTTCGATCTATTTTAAAGAAGAGAGAAATTGAAAAAGAAAGAGAATAAGGAAGAGGGAGAAAAAGGAAGGATACAAATGAAGTATTTCTTTACTTATAATATATTTTAAATTTGCTCAATTGAATTTATTATATCGAATATTAAATAAAATTTAAATCAAATAATAAGATAATTTTGCATATTGAATAATTTGAAATATTATAAATTTAATATAATTAAGCAAATTAGTATATTATTTTTTTTTTATAAAAATTGATAAGAATTTAAATTCAATTATATAATAATAATAAAAATTAATTTCCATTTTTTAATTATTTTTTTGGAATATAATTTTTTTAGTAGATATATTACATTACTTAATTAACTGTAGTCTTTTGTGTATACTTATTTAAATTCGATAACATAATGTAAATGTAGACAGTGTACCTATTGTTTTATTAATAAATATTTTTAACGAAGAAGATGAAAGATCTCTTATAGTTTATGAATTAAATCGTAAATCTTAGTTTTTTATTATATTTTTAATAGATACGTTGTTAAATTTTTTTATTATTTGTTCTTGAATGTTATTGGTATTGTATCAGTACTGTATATGTAATTAAAATGTACATTAAATCGTAAGAATGAATAAATAATATTTTTTTTTAACGAAATACTTTTCTTATTTATTACTTGTTACCTAATATTAACATATAAATTATTTATTAAATATTAATTCGAAAAAAGTTTAAATTTTAATTTAAATAATGATTTTTGTAATATATTTTTATTAATAAAATATAGAATTTAATTTTCCCTATTTAATATAAAAATTGTTGAAAAAAGAAGATTATAAAACTTACAAATTATAATTATATATAATATTATATTATATATATTTATATATAATATAATTATATATATAATATTCATATAATATCTCAAACAGGAACATATTCAAATATTTTTTATCTCGGTGATTTTTTAGTTGCATGATTGGCTCCAAATTCATTTTTACAAAGCAACACATTTTTATAAGCGCTCCTATACTCGGAACTCATCACGACATAAACAACAGGATTTATACAAGTGGTCAAATAGATCAAGATATAACCCGCGATGTTTAATCCTCTCCAATCAATAGAATCTTTAAAAATCTTCGTAACTGTAATAGGTAAATAACAAACGAGAAACGACGAGAATATCACTAAAATCATTTTTAACAACTTCTTGTCTTTATTGCTCATCCTTGGTGATCCATCAGGATTCCTAAATTTTCTGACACTCTTAAATCTAGATTCTCTACGAATAATTATAGATTTCTTCTTCGTCGATCGATCAGGAGTATTTGACTTCGAGTCATCGTATCGATCACTATCTGTAGATGTTTTTGAATTCAATCTTTGCATCCAAAGAGACGATTCTATGAGGAACGAAGCTCTACTGGTCGTTCTCTCTATTTTATTTCCACTATTCGTCGAATTTTTCTCTGTCGATTCTTTGATCTTGATACAATCGTTTGAAAAAACTGTTTCCATTGCTTCGAGATCGTCCACATATGGTATATCATCTATTTTTATTACTAGACCAGGTTTCGATTTATCACAAATTTCGACGATTGTTTTAATTGATGCATCGTTATCGAATTGGTTAACTTGCTCTTCGCTATCTTTTTTCCATCTCTCTGCTTCTATTATTTGTTGTACCTTCTCTTCGTCGTATTCCGAAATTTTTCTATCTTTCTCTATCCCACATGAGTTTTGTTCCCATGATGGTTGGTCCCATAAAGATTCCTCAATCGCCGATCTTGAAGGACTGCGCGAATAGTTCAGTTGATTGAACGAAGTTACGGCGCATTTTGAAGAGAAGTTTGGACATAAAACATTCGTTGTACAATTCGAGCTTAAAATTGACAGTTCTTCGTCTTGATTCCTGGTTGATGTGGATCGTTTCTATAATGAAATCGCAAAATATGTGTATCATTTCAAGAAAGAGAGATAAAAAATAAAAATGACCGACTTCTAATGCTTTACAATTTGTTAATTATTGTGATATTTGGATATACTATTTATTATTATATAATTATATTATACAGTATATTATATAGTATACAGATATATAAAATGTTATAAAATTTAAATTGGAACAAAAAATATTAAAAATTTTTGAATATCGCTTGAGAAATACAATATAAACCAAGAATATATATAATAATACCTATATTTTATTACATTACAATCTAATCATATCGTAATTGTGAAAGAGAAATGATAAAAATATGTTCGATTGATATACTGTACTTCCTAATTTATAGCTACGCATCAAGAGTAAGATAGACAAAGAAAGCAAATAATAAGAAAAGGACAGAGATAGAGTAAAACTTCTGCCATCAGCGCCATCTTCAGAGTGCCGCAAATGAAACACAAAAAGAAAGGACAGAAAATAATAAGAGAAAGATAGAGATAGGTAGAATTCATCGTTAGCACCATCTATGAAATATAAAGGATACTTTTTCAAAATCGTCTTTCTCAAGTACTTCGAAAGATGGCGCTCAATGTTAATTCTTATTCTACTTTATCTTTGAAAGATGTTCTAAAGAATTCCAAGAGATGGCGATATAGATCAATTGTACAATTCTACATTATCCTTCTTTTAAAGAAATGTCTTTAAAATTCCAGAGATGACGTTAGCAATCAATTCTTACGTATCTCTATCTTTCTCTTATTATTTTCTGTCCTTTCTTTTTGTGTTTCATTTACGGCACACTGAAGATGGCGCTGATGGTTGAAGTTTTACTCTATCTCTGTCCTTTTCTAACTATTTGCTTTCCTTGTCTTACTCATTCCTATATTTACTCTCCAAAATTTACGCACACGAAAGATTACTTGAATATATAACTACTTTTCATTATCTTTTTTGTTTAATCTCTCGATTGACAATCTTAATAAAATCTGTTTGATTTAGGAAATATATATATATATATATATA